TTTTTCTGCAGAGTTGCACGGGGGGTATTTTGCCTTGCTTGCTCAGCAAGTTTTGGAAGTAAAGCACTGAAAAATGCAAACTGTTCTTGCCAAGATTGAAACAGCGCATGAGCAGCATGCAGCAGTTATACAGTATATCCTGTTTTTTGCTGGGTGGATTTCAGCTTCATTTTGCACCAGACTGGCTTTTTCTGTAGGACACCCAAGCTTCTAACAGTCACCTAATTCCAAGGTTTTAGGATTTTCCTTTTTTTTTCCAGTAGCAACACCAGTAACCCCTTTTGGGGTACTGTAGCAAACCAGTACATTTCAAAACTGGTTGTTAGATTGATTGTAATACAATACATCACCAGCATAATCCACTGCTCTAGAAGCGCAAAACCTGAAATAGGCTATTAATGTTCCTTATTTATCATTTTATTTATGTGATGCTCTCTAATGCATAATTCATATGACATTCCATCTTATTCTTTCTTCTGAGGTTATTATTCACTAGAAATCCTCCATGGATGTATTATGACTCCTTAAGACATACAGTTTAAGTTTTTAAGTCTCAGCACAGAGAGACCAATTTAGAGTAAAGTCAAATTAAAATGAACATCTGGGTTAAGCACCTGTTTCCTTCATCTGTTTTCAGGAAAATTTGTACATTGTGTTTTGCTCAAAGGCAAACACAATATGTGAATATTTGACTTGTTTTTTGCTCATATCAATACTATGTACAGTATATACTGTATATGATTTCTGTAGGTTTACAGACTGAACTGTATGCAGTTACAAAAATGTTCAGTCACCTTTTCCTTTCCTGGCACATAATTTCCCTTCATTAAGAGTCTATTATAAATAAGTCTTACGGAATTAGCTGTATATTTTCTGAATGCCAAAAAAGTGTTATGGATTTTCAGAAACCCTTCATTTATCTGCAAATCTAGTCTAGAAATGTAATTGTAGAGCCGTACAGAACCTGCATTATTGAATTCTTTTAATAATGTATTTGTGTTTTTCACTTAATACTTAACTCATTTGAAACTGGTAACATTGTTTTTTTTATGTATCACAGCTCACAGTGCTGCACAACAAGAACGGGCAGCACCTGGATGTTGCTCCTAGATGAATTCTGGAAATCAGTGGCTTTAGAATTTCGGATTGAATGACACTTTATAATTAGCTAATGTAGTCTTATTGATAAATAAGTCTTTGGATGAGTGCCTTTTTGGCCTTTGTAGATGAGGGACAGGATGGTTTTTGAAGAGAGGAGAGGGGGTTAGGATAAACCAAGCATCAGTGACTAAGACCAGTGAGTAAACATGTCTGTGGGATAATTGATTTCATTGTTATTCACTTTAAGCAGTGCTCTGGAATATTAATGTACAGCTTTAGCATGGGTAATTGTCTCATTCCTGTAATTAGAAAAGTGGCGATAGTTAAAAGAACAATTGAAAAATTTAAACTCACAGCAGTGTTTCAATACAGTTGTCATGGGGCTCCACAGATAGCCTAGGATTCTTACTTTGTTTGGAGTATCTCGATCTTTGATTATGATTACATTTTATTGTCTCCTCATTGTAGAATAATTTTCAAATTCAGCTGGTCCTCAGAAAAACAGGTTTAATTTAGCAGGTGTGCTCCTGGAGCTGGAAATCACTCAACAATCAACAAATCACCGATGTCCAGATTTGGTGAGGTTCCTGCTCTGCGGTTTTCTGCTCTGACTAGATTATGTTGACATTTTAATTTTAATTCACATCACACTCGTTTTCACAATTTTTAGCCTTTATTAGTATGTGTTGGAAGTAAAGCTGTGATGCACATTGGTGAAAAGGCCTGTGCAAAGACCTCTGAAGATCTCCACATTCATCTAGTCATACAGCTTTAAGATATATTTTCACAATTTTGTTTCTGCTAGAATTCCTGGTGAGCATGCACTCATAGCAGTGCAGCATGACCTGGAACAATAAAGAAAGATGGTGAAACAGCAGGACAATGCATTTGATATAAACTAGTCCTTAATGATATGAATACTAAAATGAGCCTAGCGGAAGTCAACAAGCAGTAATTTGTTTCCCTGCTGGCTACAACCATAATAAACGGAGGCTGGAGTTATGAAAAGCCATCTTGACATAAGTCAAACTACATTACCTGTAAACACGGAATCTCTTCCAATGTTGGAAGGAGGCTCCAGGGAAACTCCACCTGTACTGATGCATAGTGGGCGAGATTATTGGAATGAGCTGCGTGAGAGAGATTGGAATTTAAGGCAGGTGTTCTTGATATCCTTAAATTACCTTATGTTTTAAAGTTCCCTGTTGTAAATGAATATTATGTGAAATGCCACTGAGAGCTCTTTTAATGCATATATCAAGTCATGATTCTGATTATTTTTCAAGATATTGCCAAAGACATAGTATCTGCATTTGTCTTACACTGTGCTTCATGATTTAAATTCAGCCCTCTTCAAAGGAGAACTGTGTCTCCTTTTGAATAGATTTGCAAGCCAAGCAGATTTTGCCAACAGAGTTTGAGTGAACTTTATTTTTTTCTTCTTGCTTATTACATTGTAGCTCAGTAGTGCAACACTTCTGAGTTCAGTTTCTCTGTCAGATGCATCTGACAGATCAGGGTTTCATTTTTTGTGTCTTAATTCCAGAGCAGCACTCTGTCTTATAGTATTGAATGATTTAGAGGCAAACAAGTGGTTTTGCTTCAAAGATTAACTGTGGCAGGCATGGCAAAATGTTTTTTTCTTTATTTTGTGATTAGTGATCCACAGCTACCGAATCTTCCCAGTTCTGTGATTCAGTGAATATCTGTTGCCTACCTGTATAAAATACGGTCAAATGTCCTGGTGCTTCAGATGTTCCAGCCATTTTTTAAAAAAAAAATATTGCACTTCCTCATGCTATGAATGTAACCTTTTGTATTTCACTTTTTTTTTCAGAAACCCAAGCAGTGAAGACAGCCTGAAAATGCCTGACAAAAATGAGACATGAGAAACCCCTCTTCCAATCACTGTGCTACATGGATTCTGTCGTTCGCTGTGGAACCAAACTGCAGGAAACCTTCAAGAAAGTCAGGCAGAACCCAGCAAACTTAAATACGGTGCTAGTCAAAGTCTCAGCTCATTGATCTCTCCAGTTTTCTTCTGGCTGAAGATTGAAGACTGGGGATCTGGAAACAGCCTTGGGCAAGAGGAATTTCTCTGTGTGTAGGGCATTGCTTTCTGTTCACCTCTCTGTGTCCCAGAGTCATCATTCCTTGTGTTTTGGATCCAGCCATGTCCAGCACACTCCCTGAGTGTCTCTCTGGGGTCTACTACAGGGTCAAGCCTGCTGTGTTTTTGGGACCCATCACCCTCTGCTAAGGCAGGAATCCTCAGAATCCAATTACAGTCACATTTTGATCTTGGATTTCACCTGCTGTTTGTTGTTCAGCTTGTGGGTAAAGCTGAAATGGATGATAAGCCTTGATCCAGCCTGCACAGACACAAAAAAACACAGTCGCAGTTTGACGCAAGGATAAAATCCTGCAAAGTTTACTGATCATAGTTTTTCCTAATCATTGCTTTTGAAGGCTTATAAGAGCTAATGCCCCCCCCAAAATATTCCATTACTATGACCCTAACGTTGTCTCTGTGTAGTACTTAATAGTCTGATGCCCCACTGCTGACAAAAAGTGCCTCAGGTCTTTCTTGCCAGCCCCCTGCTGCAAAAATGCGTATGAAACGGATTGCTCAATTAAAATAACTTCCTTTTGGAGTGGTATGAGGAATCTACCTGAACTGAACAGACTGATACTCTGAAGGGAATCTGGAGTGTGGATGTAATATCTCTGAGGTCCTGTCTGTTTTCAAGAGGATTTCTCTTTGCTAACATGGTGACACTTAATAACTCATTCCTTACCTTGTAGTGTCTATGGGGTGTTAGTTTTCAGCCTCTTAAATGCCATTTTCCCAAAGCTATGCGGTGTTCTACTTAGAGGCTCAAAGAGCATACTGACAGGGTTAAGCCATATTGATTGGAACCGTGGAAGTCCAGTGTTCTAGCAAGTCACATGCAGGTTAATTGCCCTACAAAAGATAACATTGCTTTTGTAAATGTCTGGAAATGTCACTGATTCTGGAATTTAATTTTCTGTTTCAGAGAGTTTGCCTCATAGCATCCCTTACCACTGGGACTTTTCCATGTGGAAAGGTTATTTTGCCAGAAAAGCACTGGCTTTGACTTTGAGTATTGTTTGTCAACAAAGGAATTGACTATGACCTTATTAGTATGAATACGAGGCTCCTATCATTTTGCTGGAGTGCGAAGCTTTGAAAAACCCCTGTTCTTTGTTTTTCCAGCGGAGATTTGTGAATTGTTTTTTCTTCAGAATTTAAGTTTTGTGATATGATCAACTACGGTGGGGGACGCAAGGTATGTTTATAATTTGGTCTGACGTTTGCTGGTCTATTCTTTTTCGAGATCACAGCTAATTCTGCTTCCTTGCAGTGGCTACTTTGATCGTCACTTGGCCTTTCATTTCCAAGTTCAAATCGGATCGTAATCCTCATTAAACCAGCAGGCTTGTAAATAAACGGACTGAGAATGTACGAAATGCAAGCACTGCAGGACTTACATGGCTACTCTTTTTCCTCGTAGTGTCCCACGGAATCGGTTCAGCGCATTGCTTTTCATATTTCTTTTTAACTGAAAATACATGGCAGACTGGGGGAGCTGCCAGCAAATTAATGAGCAGAAACCCGCATGAGGTTGCATTCTTGTGTCTTGGTTCTCCTTCGGAAAAAAAAAAAGAAAGGAATGCACACCTGTCACAGAGGCTGAAAAACAATTTCCCAAGCAGTAGTGGAAGAGGTAATGCAGCAGATTGGTTTGAGCGCACGTTTTCTGCAAACTGAGCGCAGGACGCCAAGCCACATTTGGTTTTTTTTACCCCCTCCCCCATTCTCTGCTTTCCTTGATGCTCCCATGACAAAATATGGGCTGTAGCCATCATTCCCAGGAGCGCTGCTGGTGCCAGAGATGGCTGTGAGCAGTGTCAAATCCCTGTACTGGGAAGTGTTCCCACCGATGCCCACCCGCCGGGTCTACTGCACGCCGGTATACCACGAGGGGCAGCTGTATGTGGTGGGGGGCTGCAGCGAGACAGGGCTGCCTCTGGACACGGTGGAGGTGCTGGATGTGGCGTCTCAGACGTGGGCTCCCCTGCCAGCCCTGCCCACCGCCCGGGCAGGGGCCACCGCCGTCTCCCTGGGCAAGAGGCTGCTGGTGATCGGGGGCATGGACGCCGAGCAGAGCCCCCTGTCCTCAGTGGAGGCCTACAATGTCGACGAGGGCAAGTGGGAGAAGAAGGCCAATCTTGGCCAGCCGTCAATGGGCATCACGTCGGTGGAGAAAGGTAAGAAATCTAGGGGGGACGGGTTCGTTTTTTCATCCATGCGTCCCAGCGTCCCACACCAGATTTAAGGGGTCAATCTGTGGAATGTGTTACAGTATTGCTTTGCTTGCAACCACAAAAATGAAGAAATCAATAGGTTCCCAAGTGCTGTCTGGCTGAGGGGTGCTCAGGGAATAACACTATAGTCTCCTGAACAAAAACTAGCTGAGGAGTGCAGGACTTCTGCAGTTTATTGAAAGAATGTTGAAGATCGTTTTGCGAGAACTGTTTTTTGCTGAACTTTGCTGTTGTGTTTGAGCTCCTTAGCACGCTTTCAACTAAATTGATTTCGTGATTCAGATCAAAACCCATCTGCTAATTGTGGGAATTGATTTTGCTCTGTGTTAATCGGTCGTTTTGGAGTTGTGATGGCGGAGAGAAAGAAACCGCTTGATGCTTTAGAAAGGTCATTGTCGCAAAGCAACCCCGTTTTTCTGATGTTTTGTTTTTTTACGATTCCATTTTTATTTGTTTACCAGTTTAGCTCAAGGGAGT